AGGTTATGTCCATTTAACTATTTGTTGAAGACACTAACTCCATACTATGGCTCATTCTTCCAAGGTCATCCCAGCATCAGAACCAATAGCAATACCTAGTTCAAAAAACTAACTATGCATATAATATCCCAATATATAAACATTATTCTCTTCAAACGGCTTTCTGACACATAGATGGAAATCTTTACCCATCAAACTAGATAACAGTTAGCAAGATGATCCGACAAGATAGCAGCATAATTCAATATAGGCTCACAACATATTCAACATCAAGATAGCCTATCATACGTTATGACTTCCACTAAATCTCATTTACTTAAGCTTAATTTTGAGCATTTAAACAAACAGCCTACTTCATAGCTTTTCAATCTAATGTGCACAAATTATAAGGTTCCTCAATCGATCAATCCTGAGCCATTTAATTCTTATATTAATTAATCCTTCTATCCCAGCTCAAGGTTAACATTTACCCAAAAAGGCATTTTCTCTATGGTTTTTAAGTTGGGACTCACATTCACCCAACCACTTTTTTTTCTCTCCACTTTTTCTTTGTCCTTAGTTTTCGTACCTTAAATTAATGTTCACTTTGACTCCTTGACCTGGGAATCTAGGACTAATGGAGAGAAACAACTTTAGCAAATCACCTATGAGTGCATCTTCACCTCTCACCTTAAGTCGATTATTCATCTCATGTCTTTTAAGTTCTAACAATTGCTAAGAGCACACCAAGACAATACACATAGGCTTAATAAACATATGAATAATGTATCAAGAGTTTCAATTCATTGCCAAACTCAAAATGTTCAGCATTGTTCAATATAGGATACAAAATATAGCTATCAGAAGCACAATGACAATTCAGTATGGTTTGATCTTAAGCGAATCACCAACATACAAACTAAGAGTCAGTACCTTTCACAGGACTAAAATAAACTCCGAAGAAAATCCTATATTCTAATTTGTTCCAAAGTAGAGCTCTTCCTGTTTGTTTCGAAGCAAACTCACATTTTCCCTACAAACTCTACTGAAATCTAATCTGCCCTAGTTGACATACCCAATACTATAGAAGTAATATAATACACAAGTAATAATACAATCCCCAAATTCATAATATTACACTACATATGACATACCCAATTCAAAACAACGAAAATTAAATTAAAAATTCATTCATTCATACCCTTGAGCTTTAAGGAGACGCCGTTGATGAGTAGACCTACAAACATTCAACAAAGACAACAAACTCGCTCGCCGAACCCTAACCCCTTGCCGTCTCCTCAACCCATCCAATGCAAAATCAACCTCATCCACACACTCCATCATCTCACCATACTCCTGCGTCTCCATCAACGTCGTCGTCGTCGTTATCATCGTATTCCGCCTCGATACCGCCTTTTCTTTCCCCATATCCCTCCTCCCATCATTCAACTTCCTCGCTTTCTCTCTCCTCCCTTTCCCAGGCGCCAAAAGCTGCAACGACGCCACTGAGCTACTATTCTCACTCTCTGAGTTAACCCACCGAGTCGAATCTTGGGATGAAAATGTAAAACTCCCAATTTCTTGAGGGCTTTCTTGGAATTGCGAATACGAGGTTGATGTTGTTGTTGTTGTTTCCCTAAAAGTAAAAGGGTCATCTTTTTCTTCTTCTTCTTCATCCATTGAAACGTCGTCGTCAAACGATAAATCTGATAAACTTCTCCCGATCTTCCGCCGCCCGTATGTCCTCACAATCATCACTTTTTTGCTGAATTTTTTTTAAAATTGGGGAAACTGATTTCGAAGAATTTGAATCTTTGTCAAATTTTTCATGAATTTGAAATTCAACATTGGGGGTTTTTTAGAGGAGAGAGAAAATTGGGGGTTGAATGAGAGAAGAAGAGGAAGATCTTCAAGCTGTTTTTCGAAGGTGAGAGGAGAGAGAAAATGAGGATTTGATTTCTGGAGTTTTTTTTTTTTCTACTTTGGAAGTTTTGGGTGAATTTGAAAATGGCGTCTTGTAATTCCGGTTTTGCCCCTGAAAGTTTGATGAAATTACATTGATTTTTGTACTGCTTTTGTTGGAAGTAGGGGTAGTTGAGGTAATTTGAAAAAGGGGTTTGGGTTAAATCATCCGTTGACGTAGGGTTGAAATTGAAATTTAACCGTACGATTTAGGGCGAGTTTAATTTTTTAATTTTTTTTTTCAATTTTGTAATAGTATGTTTTTTTTTCACAACTTTGTCCTTGTGCAAGAACAAACACCAACTTTATTGCTGCATTCCAAATTTATGATTAACCCATTTGCCTCACCAGTCACCACAAGAACCATGAAGGGTACATCAAGCACCATCTTGTCGAAGATTGACCTTTACGGTTCCTATAATGCTCGGATAGATCCAACCTTTTTGAGTATGATGATAGCGTGGAACACATTTGTGTTACGAGAATTTCTCTGTCTCTGATAATTTAAGTCATAAATGACTCTAGTAACATACGTTGGTAATAAATTATATCATATAAATACCAACAAAGAATTATATCGATACCAATAAAACAAATTTCATTTATAGGTAACTACTAAAGAAGTATTTTGGAATAATGATCATACCATCTAAAGTACAATTTAATACCAACGCGTGTTATTAGAGTCATTCATGACTCAAGTTATTAGAAGCAGAGAATTTCTCTGTGTTACTAAGTGATGTGTCACTTTCTATTGGAGATGGATTAGAAAATACAAAGTCATTGGGATGTGACATTGGGTCGAGGAGGAATTACCTATTACCTGCCTTATTGGCTCCGCCCTAACATATACTTTCTCTTATTTCTTTTATCTGCAATATAGTGGCACGCTTTTTAAGAGACGATTAAAGTAAGTAAAAACGAACAAATTTATCAAAATATTTCTAGTGTTGTGAATAAGGAAGAGTTAGGTAATTCGTATATTAATCAATCTTATTAATTTGTTCTTGTACATTAGATTAGAGAAGCTTTTGCGTGACACCGAACTCACCACGAGTCTAATATATCTTACAATAATAATCTAATATCAGACATTAATAATCTAATATCTGACATTAATAATAATCTAATATTTGACCCTGACATTAATAATCTAATATCTGATATTAATAATCTAACATTAGTAATTTAATATCTAACAATAGTTATCTAATATATGACATAAATAATCTAGTATCTGACATAAATAATATAATATCTAACCTCATTAATCTAATATCTGCAAATTTAGTAAACAAGCTATGAACACTGGTATGACTACTCTCGTTTTCGATCGTCTCCTACTCCAATGCTCTTGCGTCTCTCATTCTCCTCCCTTTCTCTCTCTTCCTTCACAGTTTCCCTACTTTTCTCTCAATTCCCTCCTATTTCATCTATTTTCTTCTATTTTTACATGAAATTTACTCCAATTTTGTGTGTTTAATTGCAGATCAAATATTCCCCCCGCTAATTGCAGATCAAATCTCCCCCCCCCCCGCTAAGTTTAATTACAGATCAATTGCCTGAAGCCGACGTAGATTCGCTGGAAGTCATTGGAAAAATTATGTTTTCCGCCGTCTTCGAAATCACCGCCATCCGTTATGTTGACGAACTCACCGTGAGTCCGTTCTACACAATTTTTTCGTTTACATTATATTATCTAAGCTCTTCGTTAAATATAAAAATTACTCCCAACTGTTTTTTTTTTTAATGCATCCTTTGTTACTTTTTAATGTTTTAATTTTTTAAAAATGCATCACTTCTATATTTGATAACGTTATACCATTTTATATATCTATTTTCCCTAAAACCCCATTTTAACTATTTACAATATCATTTATTATTTCCCTGATCACTTCACCTTATTTTTACTGAATTAAAATTATTTTTACTGGTTCTCTATTATATTTCTTCTAGAGTTATTGATTTTTACTAAAATTAACTTATTTTTATTGAACTGAAATTATTTTTATTGAATACGGAATATTATTTTTTAAGGTGAACTGAACAGTGACTTACAAATTATCTCTTTCAAGGTCCACAAGCTCCATGTAGTACTTTTATTAAAATAAATTAATCATTCATTTACCCACATGTACAATATAATATTAAAACAAATAAAATCTCTTAAAACTCTTTGTAAATTTAAGTAATGCTTTAAAAAAAAAAAAAAAAAATCGAAGGGACTACCATACTACCTTTGTTCTTTATGTAACGATGTTCCAATTTACTTCATACTATAAAATATAAATGCACAATTTTAGGAAAGAGGAAAGAGAGTGTAAGCTATGAGGGAAGAGAAAACCCCCAACATTCTTTCTTACTTTATTAACTTTGTCTTATTTGATTCTTTTCACAAATGTGCATTCAATATATATGTTTTAAAGTTCGAGCAACCTGAGCTTAAACTATGTATCAAAAGTTAATTTTAAGATCGCATAGTGAGAATATGAGACACATTTAACAATGACATGAATATAATTTTCCTTGTATATATTGATGAATACTCGGTCAAGTTTTCTCTATTTCAATAATAAATTGTCTTAATAGGTAAAATAAAAAAGAATGGAGAAAATAGTAATTAATCTAGTCTTACTTGTATGTATGTGATGCATGTGTAAAAATTAAAAACTCTAAAACTAACATTGTGTATGAGTTATGACCACTCAAAGTACATTAATATTGACAAGAATATAATTTTGTATTAAAAGAGTAGAGAGTAAGGTAAGGACACATTTGGTACTTCAAAATTTGAGCACCAATGCAATACCTCAAATATTTAGCTAATATATTAGTCAAAAAATATTGCAATTTAAGTACGTATTCAGATAGTTAATCAAATATATAAACGAGTATTTAATAGTTAATTTTTGTAATGAAAACTGATAGATAGTCAAATAGCTACTTAGGAGGTATTAATTATACTACGTATTAATTAAAGCAAGTCAAAATTATAGTCAAATAGCTACTTTAGTTTATCAGAATGGTAAGCTTAATAATTTCAAAATTTTTACAATATTCATAAACAACTAATTTGTAGTTTCTTGCTCTCATGCCATCACAAAATTTCTAATTACTTATTACATCTATATCATCTAAGCACTTAACTATGTCCCAAAAACATATTCTATATCATCTAACCACTTAACTACGTCCCAAAAACATATTCTAACGATCGATAAACAATAATAAGATAAAAACTACAATTCGTTCTCATCGTAGACATCCCCAAGACCCTCCTTAACACAATGCAAATTTAACTCTTACCACAGTCCCTCCTTTATAGTAACATCATGCCCTTCCTTAGCCTTTTCCTTCACAAATTCCATCCAAGATCATATAAATTAAAGCTCATTCGAATCTTCGATCACCTTCCGTTCATTGATCACCTTCTTCCTCCTATTGTTACCCGTCGTTTCCTTAGCATTTCGAGCATTATTTTGGCTCACCGTCCACTTTTCCTCCTCGGCTTTTTGGGCAGCCATTTCTTCTTGATGTTTGCCCATTTCTTTAACCACCTCCAAGTCTTCCTTAAAATTCTCTTTGGTTATCTTACCCTTTACTTCTTGTTCTTGGCCTTCTAACTTGCCAAAAACTGAATTTTTCATTAACAAAGCCCTGTTAACTGCAGATTTAGCTTTATCCTTTATACGTCGAATTGTCTCGCCCATCTTATCCCCCCATAGCTTGGCATGTTTAGATGTCTCAACAGCGGCGAATTCTGTCACAGGAGGAGCCCTCTCAACCGGAACATCATTAGCAATTTCACATGATTTCATTGAATGTTGGCAATTGCGCTTTGCTCTAATGGAGGCTTCTTCGGCAGTTTCATATGCCCTTAAGGTTGCTTCTCTAGGAATGTTGGACCTTAGCTCTCCATCATCTGTATGCCCAAGAGATCGATTATTTAGCATACAGTTATCAATCAATTTTTAAGTATGATTTATTTTTAATTTCTATTTTTATTTGCTATATAACTATAAATAGCCTACAAAAGTGTCAATTGGATGGCAAGGTGACACAACTTCACCAACCCTCTCTCATTTCGATTCTAACAAAATCTCACCTGACTATTATTAAGTAAACAAAGATGACTAAAGAAAATAAAATAAATTGAATAGTGTACAATGCAAAGTTAATTTGATGTAATGAAGTAAATAAAAACCAATGAAAGTAATAAAAATTGCTATTTTTTTTTTTTTTTGAATGGATAAAAATTTAAAGTATATCTTTTATTTAATTAAATTTACACATGATTGGAGACATTAATGACTGCAAGTGTAAAAAGACAAAAAGTAAAGAACATAAGAAAACGAAGGTAGTACACGATAGTGTAATTAGCAATACCTTGTGGCGCCTGAGGAGCATCGCCGCCAACCCTACAACCCGAGCGATTCAACCGGAGGCCCTGCACAATCATATCCTTCCCCCAATCGGTGGCCTCCTTGGCAACTCGACCCCAACTCTTCGAAGCTGATCCTGGATCATCAATCATCTCTTGCACCGCCGCGCTCGCTATTGTACCATTACAATTCACCCTCGTCACTGCCACCACCGCCGCCACCACTAGTACGAGTACCTGTACCTCTAGTGCAGACCACCGAGATGCCGCCATTTTTGTCCCGGAAAAATAAAGAGTTGTGAATATATATACAATTATTCTTTCTTTGTTGTAAGTGTGACCAAGTTTTGTTGGAAGTGGTGTTAGAACCTAAAGAAATTGATGATAATGCAGCTGCTGGATAGAAATAAATAAATCAAATAACAGATGTAATAGTATGGTGTAACGAGTTGAAGGGTTTGAGCACGTGGCAACTTTACGACGTCGTCGTAGTTTGGGTACGATCGACTTTTCTTTACTTTTTTTTTACAAAAATTGGATATTTTTCGTTGTGATCATCTGGCTTTAAAAAAAATTGGACATTAATTATGTTTTCACATAAAAGACATTAGAGAGTGTCTTCTCAACCGTAGTGGAGCCAAAAAATATAACTCGAGGGGACAAATTTTGAATATTATATAATTTGTCAAAAATCAAACAAAAAATACACATAAATTATTTAATATTTGAATCGCACGCATAGTGGCGGACCTAGGAATTTCCGACTGGTGAGTCACAATTGATAACCAAATATGTAAAAAGAAAAAATTTACCAAAATTCCCAAGAAAAATTATTTACAAAGATCATCCAAATAGAAAATTGACAAGATTACAGTACTAACTAATAATTAACAAGCTTAAAATTGACAAGACTAAAATTAACAAACTAATAATTAACAAGCTAATAATTGACAACATGACAAGCTTAGCTCTCTAATAATTAACAAACTAATAATTGACAAGATTAAAATTTGTACAAGCATTAGGTTCACATTTCATCAAAAACCCAACAACATTAACAAAAGGTTCAAAGTTAGTATTTTTTTTTAAAAAAAAAAACTTAGAAAATAATTTATTTTTTTATTTTTTTTTAAAAAACTTAAAAAATATTTTGGGCCCTGGTGAGTCATTTGACCCACCAGGCATAAGGCCAAGTCCGCCAATGCGCACGCATATGAAATTTACACCATTATACACCATTATAGCTCCGCATCGTGATGCCGCCAAGACAGCATCCCCCGGACCTTCTCCATTGCCGTACACAAACTCTCACTCGCCTTCTTCTTGGCAACATCACTCCTTTCTTTGAAGCTTCCATATCCTTTCTCCGTTTTTGCTTCTTGGGGCTTCTTAACAAAGGCATCCTTAACATGTAAGGCCTCGTTGACTACTTCATCAGCAACTACATTTGTCTTCTCTTTCACGTTGTTAGAAACTTTATTAGCTGTTTCGCATGCCTCTGATTTTGCTTCCTTCGCAGTTTTGGCTGTATAATCTACTGCATCTGCCAGCACAATAAGTAACAATTCATACAAAGTGGATGATAAGTTTCATATATATTACTGCTGCTGTGCCATGTTACATATATATATATATATATGCATATCGTGCTAGTATGCTACTTAACTTCTCAAAGGTCTAAAAGACTAAAAGTAGATATAAGCATCACAATTAAGTGTAGTACTATGTCTTTTCTCTAATACTAGTATTTGAGTATCTCCATAAGTTAAAAGTACTACATACCCATTCTGCACTTTTATTACTCGTATTAAAAATTACTCCGACACATTTCAGCTTCGAATTCGCTATTAGTCCGTAGAGGTTACTAAAGGTGCATTCTATCTAGCTTTTTAAGTATTAATCTGAACTTATTAAAGCTTACTTTTCAAATATAAATTGAAATTGCATAAACCTTAAAACCATGTAAACTTATATGAGCTTATCTAATTTGCAATTGTACGTCAACCCCTTTTGAACTTGTTTTAAAAGAATTGAGAATAAGGTGAACAGAAATGGCCTAAAATGTCACATTAGATATTCTACTGGGCTTAAACATAATACCCTAAAAGTAAACCTCATGGCTAATTAATCCGGACTTATTAGGCTTTCATAAGTTAAAAATCAAGGTTAATTAGGTCTAATAATAAGTCGCTCAAGATTATAAATTCAAGGGAAAGAATTTACCAATGAACACAAAATAGGTACACAAGTACACAAGCACATAACATCCACTAAATTTTTTTCACTGCTCGAAGATTATAGACTACCCTTTTTTACTTATAGGATTATAAGAATTGAAGAACAAAAATTACCCCCATTAACTATTTAATAGCCTTTAAGAACAAGTGTAATGGATTAACCAGGCTACTATTTTATGGAGATTATTTTTCCTATGTACTTTTAGACGCTTTATCCTTTAATTAATGTTTTAGTTCGACATTTATCTCAAAAAAATTATATACCGTGGGAAGTTTATATTTTGAGAATAAATCTTGTAACAAAGTAAAATTTAAACTTGTTTGACACTAAAAAGTGAAATGAAGCAAGAGATTTAAGACCGAAAGAATATTAAACGAAGTATAATTTGTAATAAAGCATTACCACCAGCACAACGAAATGCGTCCTTCAACCCCATGCCACCTTGAATGGTCTCCTTGGCCCATTCCTCAGTGACCACCTCGCCAACCTGAGCCCAACTCTTCTTCGTTGCTTCACCGTGATCTGATTTCTTCATATTGCCCGTCGCCGCCTTTACTAACGTGGAGTTGCATCTCACCGCCACCACGGCCACCGCCGCTAGTATTAATAGCACTTGCACCACCTTAGTCGACCACCGAGACCCCGTCATTTTTTTCCCCGGATAATAAGAGAACAAACGACTAGTACAATTATTCTGACCACTAATTAACGTGTATTATTAAGTATTAACATTAATGTTGCATTTGTAAGCGGTTTTGGATTGTATGTGGTGAATGGTGATGCACTGATGCATGTACATACTCCCAAGTCCGTAATAATGCTATTGTGCAACATGTAGACGTGTTAAATAGAATTGGACACTTTTCGAATTCTAATATAATCCTATGAGAATTGAAAATACTTTACTGGGTAATACTTTATCTAGTGTTAAGACAAGGTTACGACTTACGAGATCAATTTTTACAAATTTGGGTGCGGATTTGCTTACTACAAATATTTAAAAAAAAAAGATGTACTTTTATTGTACATCCGTTATAAAGTTACCTTAAAATGATTAAAAGTTTTTGTTAAAAATAAAAAAATGATTAAAAGTTATTAGATAATGAATGAAAGTTACCCCGTATATATAAGTTACTCTCATATAAATAAAAGTTATTTATACTGCATATTGATAAAAGTTACTCTAAATTCAATAAAAGTTATCTCAATGTACAGTAATAATTAGTATTATTGTACCTCGGATGTATACAATTTTTTTTGTATTTTTACCATTCCCTTCTATTCCAAAGAAATATTAACTTACAAGTACACTAAGTTAGGTTGACCTGTGTGAAATTCTGAACAAATTAATATATTTAATCATATATTTACAAAATTCGCTTTGTTCAGATAAAATGTTGTGTGTAATATTAATGGATAAAAAAAACGTTTTAAGAAAATAATTGAACTATAATTTTGGTCGTTACTAGATTTGACTCAGAATTCTATTTTCGTAAGAAATAAGATTGAATAATTTCATTGTTTACGAATTTGGTTCTCTCTAAGTTTTCTTTAGGCCTGATCACGGATCAGATATCCGATCTCGGATCGGATATCCGAATCCGAAAATTTGCAAATTTGATATCCGTATCCGATCCGAAAGGTTTCGGATATCCGATATCCGAAATTTTTCGGATCGGATACTTCAATTATTCGTTATCCGAAATTTTAAAAACCTATTTTTTTAAATATTATTTTTTCCATTTATTATAATAAACTGTTTCATTCATATATTAAATTATTAATATCGACATCCCTTCAAAAAAAAAATTATTAATATTGACATTCCTTCAAAAAATATTTTTATTAATATCGACATCAAATTACTAACTGAGAGGCAGCAGCAACAAGTCAGGAGAGCTCCAAACACAGGCAACAGAAGGAGTAGCTTCAGCTGTTAGACACCACTAGATGGAAGACCAGAAATGCAGCAGCGAACCTACTAACCAGCAGCTTGCAAAGCAGCAACTTTTAGTAGCAGCACATGGGCAGCAACAAATGTAGCAAGCAAGCAGCAACAACAAAACATAAGCCCAACAAGGAAGCAACATCACCAACGAACATGGAACAGCAACAAGCGACTAGGCAGCAACATACAGAGGAGGTAGCAGCAGGATCTCTCTTTAAAGCAGGCACCAACAGCACCAAAGGCGGCAACCTGTCAGCCTAGCAGTATAGTAGCAAGAAGCAGCAATGAAGGGCAGGCAGCAAACAGGGAGCAACCAAGCAGCAGTAGGTCAGCCTTATAATCCCAGGCAAACAACATCAAAGCAGCAGCAGTACTGTAAGACAGGTAACAAGCAAAAAGCAAAGCAGTAGGGCCAAAACCACTAAACCAATTAACCAAATATTAAACACACAAAAATATATTAAACACACATAAAATAATCTCTACAAAGCTCCAAGCCACTAAGTCCACAAACTCCAAATTAGTAAATTACACCACAAAAAACAAAATAAAAAAATTACAACTTCATCTTATGTATTTCAAGCTCCAATCTCCAATCTTCAAGCTCATCTTCAACTTGTTACATGTAATCATCAACAACGCCACTTGAAGGTTGCTCAATAAGTGGTGATAACTCTACACAACAATTTTTAAAAAGAATATAGAATAAAAAATTAGTTAGAAGTTAAAACTAAATTATGCAAATTAATTAAAAAAACATAATAACTAATAAAATGTTATACCTTCTTCAATTCTCTCAATATCTTCAAGATTTTCTTCAACTACTAAAGGGCCACGAGTATTTCGCAACCAATCTTGAGCACATATCAAAGCTTCTACCATATTTGATGAAAGTGAGCTGCGAAATGGATCAAGTACTCGTCCACCCGTACTAAATGCAGATTCAAACGCTACAGTGGATACAAGAATAGCTAACACATCTTTCTCCATAAGAGCTACAATAGGGTATCTTTCCCCACGATTCTTCCACCAATCTAAGGCATCAAAGCTCTTTCCAATAGTGTTAGGTTCTCTTTCATCATTTAGATACTTATCCAAATCACTCTTTTTCTCAAAATTACTTTGACTTCCTATATCCCTCTCAAATTCAAATTCATTCATGTCATGCCAATCCTCAAAGCTTTCCATGTCTCTTGTAGTCAAATCAACCATATTGGATGGACTTGACCCACTTTGTGTTTGTTGAGAGGCATAATGTTCATACAAAGAATTCAACGCATCCCTAATCTTATCATACAACTCTTTACCCTTATCCAAATCATATTGATCATCAATAGCCCACTTCACATATTGCATCTTTCGCCTAGGATCAAGTACAACAACAACATACAACATCAAATTGATATTATTCACATTTTCCCAATACTTATCATGTTTTCTTTTCATTCCATGGGCCATTAATCTTTCACCAAGATCACTACTTTCACACTTTCTCTTTATCATCTTTCCAATGGTAACAAGTTCTTGCAAATACACATTAGAAGTAACATACAAGGACCCAGAAAGTCTTAAAGTAGCATCATAAAATATCTTTAAAAAAGGGAGCAAAGAAGCAACACGATCCCAATCATCATCAGTTGGAACACCATTAGACTTTGTCAATTCTTCATTAAATTTACCACCATCAGAAGTTTCAAGCAAATCAAAATCCTTACGAAAAATAGAAGCATATTCCAACATCATGTAAGTTGAGTTCCACCTAGTTTCAACATCTAAGCAAAGATGACGTTTAGACTCAATTTGCTCTTGATTGACACAATTCTTAAACTTCTGCAATCTTCCAGAAGAAGATCTAACAAACCTTACCCCATTTCTTATTCTTTTTATTGACTCGTCATTTTCTTTCAAACCCTCCCTCACAGTCAAATTGAGAATATGAGATGCACAACGCATATGCACAAATTCCCCCCCCCCCCAATACAGCCCCATCTTTCCATCTTTGAAGTCGTCTTCTTATGTATTGAATACCTACATCATTTGAACTAGCATTGTCCACTGTTATAGTCATGACTCTACTAATGCCTTACTCAAGCAAGCATTTTTCTATCCTTTTACCAATAGCCTCACCAGAATGACCGCTAATTAGACAAAAATTTAAGATTTTTTTGTGCAATATCCAATTATCATCTATGAAATGAGCAGTCAAACACATGTAACTCAAGTTTTGACATGATGTCCAAGTATCGGTAGTAAGACAAATGCGAGAAGAAGACTTGGAAAAGTAACTTTTTAGCTTCTTTTTTTCCTCTACATATATACGATAACAATCTCTTGCCACGGTAAAACGAGAGAGGAAAACAAAGTTGGGTTGTGCAAATGACATGAAATAGCGAAAACCCTCATGCTCACAACATCTAAAAGGTTTCTCATCTATTATGACCATCTTTGCAAATGCTTTTCTACATTCATCTTGCTTAAATTTCCAAAGATCTAATCTACCTTTTCTCCCATTTACAAATGTCTCCGACATATTGTCATCCACACTACCATCTCCCTTAACTTGTTCAGTTTGTTCACTTTGAAAAGAAAGAAGTCTTTGTGATTTATCAATGTTAGGAGGGTATTCTTTGCACCTTGTAATATGATTTTTCATAACACTTGTACCACTCTTTGAGTCACCACAAACATTAGTTTCACAATAGTTACATTTAGCCCTCTTGTGAATGACACAAAGTGATCCCAAACCCAAGATCTTTTCTTCTTACCTTTTTTTGGAGCTCCAAGATCATCAAGCGCTCTCTTGGTTGGAATTTGGGCCTCTGAATCAGGTGGAACATCTTGTGGCTTTGGTGGTGAAGCATTTGCCGTGGATGTCAATGGATCATCACTTGAGGGGGTAGCACTTTCCCCTGTCATATCCGCCATAAATCTGTCACTATAAGAGTATGTTAATATGTGAAAGACCATATATGACAACTATTGTTAATATGTGAAAGAGCATTTATATAAATCATCTATTAACATGTGAATGACCTTGTACTAAAATATAAATGAACATTCATAAAAAAGAACTTACCACTTCAAATTAAATCTACATGTCTATATTAGTACAAAATAGATCAAATTTTCTAAAAAATTATGACAACAAATTTACTCATTTTTAACAAAAACTAGTAAAACTTTATTATACTACTTCTCAGGTCGTATTTTTAGAAGCTGTATGTATACTGTTTCGGGGTTTTCTGATGTCCTGCGGGAGAGTTACAATTCCGAGACTGGAACCGGACGCCTGTACCTGCAAAACAAACGGAGACTCCTTGTGGTGGGAGCTCCGCCTCCGACGGTCAAGTTAGTACTTGTTTGAGGAGTAATAAATGCGGAAAGTAAAGGTGGGAGATCTGGTTCCTCTAGGTGAGGAGTGATCAATGTGTTTAGACTTCTCTAGGTGAGAGTGTTCCCCCTGTTTATGGAGGCTAATGACATGTTTATATAGCCTCGAAGTACGTGCTTGCCTCGGGAATTGGGCCTGCGATGGTCGTTTTCCAGGTTGGCGAATAATGGGCCGCATGATGTGACCTGATTAGTCCATGTTGGACCTCTTAGGGTGACAAGTGGCGGACGCTGATTGGCCCATGTGGTGGACACGTGGCAGGTCCGGATTGGTCCATTTGTCATGGGTAATTTTACCCTAAACATTTGCCCCTCGGAAGGAGTTATTTCTCTTTCCAAGAGGGATTGCTCCTTTTGAAAGTTAGACCCTCGAAGCTTTGCTAGGTCGGCATCTTGTCTAGTTCTAATGGGAGATGGACTTGATTAACTTAGAAAATTTTGATACCTTGGGCGGTATGACA